ATGTTTAACATATATTATAATATACAGTATTTCTATAAGCAATTGTCTGACTTAATGTATTGAAATGTTGTCCGCAATGCTGCCAATCCTGACCCAAGAATGAGCCGACGAAGTAGAAGAGAGTCCACGCGATTATCATATTATAATACACGGCAACTATCATTGAACTTATTATAGATGTTAATCCCAGTCCTATATTTAATTGATGATATGATCAACAAATTGGCTAAAGATTTAACAACACACCTTTAAAGAATGGTGATAAATTTGCATATAAATGAGCAGGACCCATTGATGAATATTGACCAAGACTTAACTCGATCAGAAATAAAGGTAATCCAATGACAAACGAACATATGATATATGGTATGAGGAATGCACCTGAAATTCAATGCAGTTTATATTACAACTGAATTCAAAAGTAAAAATCAATTAGATGCTAATTAGCACTTGTGTAAATTTATAAATTTGAATACTATTTATTTAGTAACTATTTATTGAACATAAAATAATACTGACCACCACCGTTTTTATAACAAAGATATGGAAAGCGCCAACACTTTTAATAAATAAATTAAATAAATAAATAATTCATTTGAATTATTAAATTAGTATTTGAATGAAGCAACAAATGACATAAAACATACATTTCCGAGTCCGACAGCATTGCCGAGACAGGCCAACAGGAACTCTATTTGTCCGCCCCATTGGTCACGAGTTTGCTTAGGAGCCGGTGCTGTGGGTCCTGTCCTCTGCGCGATGTTTCCGTTTTTGGTGTTAATCTCATATCGATTCCCATTAATTTCAGTTAAAGCCAAAGATGTAGTCATTGCTGTTAATTAATAGTTATTTATAAAATATTTATAAAAGTTTATAAAAGTAAGCTTTTACATGTTATTGTAAATCACATGCTTTTATATGCTTTTAGCAAATTATATTAAAATAGTAAAAACATTGTATCATAGAACAAACTTAAAGTAAAAACAATTGAGTAAAATTTTACAATAACTATCATTTTTCATGATGTGAAATCAATTCTACAGTACCTGAAACAAAATATTATTTTAAATATCGTAATCAATTTGAATAGAATATAATATTCTGACAATAATAGAAAGCAATGAATAAATTTGAGCACAAAGTTATATAGTGTCACAATATTTGAATCGTTGCTACGATTTTGAGCACAATTTTTGTGAATCAATTTCAGTGGACTTTGTAATCATAAGTGAGAGAATCTTATAATATATTTGTGTCCATAATTTGCATGAATTAGTCCTCATTCTAATGAGCGATAATACAAACATAATAAGTTGAGTCAATTTATAT